TTCAGCGTCTTGTATGCACGAGTTTGTCTTTGCTTGGAAATCTTCCATGTAAATAAAAACAGACTATCATCATTGTTTTGTCCGTGTATTATTTAATATATTGTAATGTAATTGTCATCTTTGATAATGGCTTATGTAAGCCGAAAGCTTAGATAGGATTAAAAATATGTAGGGAGAAATATACTCTTAAGGTGTGCTATATTTATGGGATAAAGTGCTAAATATCAGAGATAGAGCGTGGTAAATATAAAAATGGACATTGAAGTCAACACTTAGATGCGACAGGCTGTTTCATGCCAGACGCAATCTTCAGGCCACCGATTGCGTCTAACATGAAACAGCCTGTCTCCTTCATTATCCACTTTTATATATATATATATATATATATATATATATATATATATATATAAGGGAGGCACGTTGATGTAATGGATAACGGCTCAGATTGATTAATCGGAGAACGAGTTTTAATTTCAGCATGTACTGTCAACGACGAAATTATTCGTAAACCCATCAATTTTGAATATTTTTTATCCATTTCTCAGAATCTAATGTCTGTATGATGCCAGGTTTTTTTTATCAGTTATTAAGCACAAAAAAGGAATATAAAACTCAATTTTCAGAACAAGATGTTAAATCCAACAAAGTTGAGAGATGAATTATGAAAAATAGGACAAAATTAGCATAGAAAATTAGCGTTTTAAATTGATTCGTGTAAGTATAAGCAATTTAGCTAATTATTTTTTCGCTAAAGTCTTCTGGGAAATTTATTTAGTAGAATATTTGTGATAATTCCAGCAAAGAACATCTCGTGGTGCAGAGAGCGTCACCATTGTTATTCTTACGTTAACAACGCGATGGGTAAGACAAAGGATCTTAATGTTGAGTTGAGATGCAGAACAACTAACTTGCACAAGTTGGGAAATATTTACAGCGCTATTTCAAACCGGTTAGCTATCCCTAGATCTAAAGATAAAGATTTACGGTCCGGTATAAAGAAGTTTAAGCAGTGTGGCAAGACAGAGAATTTGCCTGGGCGTGGAATAAAACCCAAATTGTCTTCAAAAATTTTGTTGCGAGTTTAATATAAACCGAAGTGTGTTTTTTTGGTTTTAAAGACTTCGCCAAAAGTTTGAATATGATGGGTGTCAGCAAAGTACTCGCACAGTACAACGTTGTCTAAATAGAAATATGTTGTATGGAAACCAACCACGACGAACCCATCTACGCAAACAATGTCACATTTTTGTTCGGTTTAATTTTGCCAAAACGTTCTTGGACAAAGAAAATTGCTTTTGGTAACAAGTACTATCGAAAGATGAAACAAAAATTGGGCTTTTGGGACATAAAGATGTACAGATTTGGCGCAAGAAAGGTGATTCTTTCTTCTCAAAGAATACAGTGGCAACATTAAAACATGGAGGCGGCTCGAAGATGCGTTGCTGCTGTTTTAGCTCAAAAGGGACAGTACCTTTAATTGCAGTAAGAGGAATAATGAAATTTGCAGACTATATCAAAATTCTGGCTGAAGATCTCAGCGCAAAATCTTCATCTAGTTTGGGGATTTACTTTCTAGCAAGATTATGATCCCAAACATACGTCTAAATCAGTTACTGCGTGGCTTCATAAAAAGAAGATTACAGTTCTGCCATGACCTTCAATGAGTCCTGACTTGAATCCTATTGAAAATCTATGGAAAGAATTGAAAGTTCGAATAAATCCTCGATCACTAAAAAATCCTTCGTGTACCCATTAAAGAATGGAAGAAAATCCCAGAAAAGACTTGTTCAAATCTCATCAAAAACGTTAGAAAACGATTGCAGTAAGTTATAAAAATGATGGTGCATGCTGTTGACTATTAATATTGTGAAAACATATTTTTTCTATTTTCATACTGTATAAATAATTTTATCTTTTCCTATTTTGCATAATTACCATGTCAAATTTGCTGTATATAACGTATTGCTCTGAAAATTGAGTTTTAATTCCTTTTTGTACTTATTAGCATATAAAAAACCTCGTAAGGGTATTGGTTTCTGAGAAATGGATAAAAATATTCAAAATTGATGGGTGTACGAATAATTTCGACTTTGACTGTATATAAATATAATGGATTTGAATGTAATTCGAATCCATTACATTCATTTACGTACTACTACCCTTGGGAAAGGTATGAATCCTCTTCTATGGGTAAATCGCAGAGCAGACTGGATTCTATAGGGTAGCAACCTATCCAAGAAAAGTAACTTTGAATACAAAAAACTATATGCAGCCCTGGTGTAGCATATAATATACAGCTAAAGAACGATTCGATTTCATTGGTTCAATGATCCCGACTACGGTCGAATAATGATATTAACCTGATCTTGCACCACCTGACTATGACGATCTTATGGGTAAACTTTCTCTAAGATTAAAATCTTTATTGACAAATTTTTCATATCAAAACCTGTCGAAGTGGGTAACAAAAACTTCCAGAAAAGTGACAATTCATTCCAAA